TTGTTCAGGATACTCACAGTCAAACCGGCATAGCCTCTACGAGTAGGAGGTCATGAGGGTAAAGGCCTTACAGGTACAATGACAGTCGGGGCAAGTAGAGAGAAGCACACCTGAGTGTGTCGGCCTGACTCTGCAGCCGCTGCCTTTCCAGCTTCACCTGATGGAAGTACCAGCCAAGGTTGCACACGGTGGGGAGTGTGAGCACAAAGAAGGGGGGGACTCGGAGGAGCATCGGAGAGGGAAAGATGCATGGACCTGCGGGAAAGATGCATGGACCTGAGGGAAAGATGCATGGACCTGCGGGAAAGATGCATGGACCTGAGGGAAAGATGCATGGACCTGCGGGAAAGATGCATGGACCTGCGGGAAAGATGCATGGACCTGCGGGAAAGATGCATGGACCTGCGGGAAAGATGCATGGACCTGCGGGAAAGATGCATGGACCTGCGGGAAAGATGCATGGACCTGCGGGAAAGATGCATGGACCTGCGGGAAAGATGCATGGACCTGAGGGAAAGATGCATGGACCTGCGGGAAAGATGCATGGACCTGCGGGAAAGATGCATGGACCTGCGGGAAAGATGCATGGACCTGCGGGAAAGATGCATGGACCTGCGGGAAAGATGCATGGACCTGCGGGAAAGATGCATGGACCTGAGGGAAAGATGCATGGACCTGCGGGAAAGATGCATGGACCTGCGGGAAAGATGCATGGACCTGCGGGAAAGATGCATGGACCTGCGGGAAAGATGCATGGACCTGCGGGAAAGATGCATGGACCTGCGGGAAAGATGCATGGACCTGCGGGAAAGATGCATGGACCTGCGGGAAAGATGCATGGACCTGCGGGAAAGATGCATGGACCTGCGGGAAAGATGCATGGACCTGCGGGAAAGATGCATGGACCTGCGGGAAAGATGCATGGACCTGAGGGAAAGATGCATGGACCTGAGGGAAAGATGCATGGACCTGCGGGAAAGATGCATGGACCTGCGGGAAAGATGCATGGACCTGCGGGAAAGATGCATGGACCTGCGGGAAAGATGCATGGACCTGCGGGAAAGATGCATGGACCTGCGGGAAAGATGCATGGACCTGCGGGAAAGATGCATGGACCTGCGGGAAAGATGCATGGACCTGCGGGAAAGATGCATGGACCTGCGGGAAAGATGCATGGACCTGAGGGAAAGATGCATGGACCTGCGGGAAAGATGCATGGACCTGCGGGAAAGATGCATGGACCTGCGGGAAAGATGCATGGACCTGCGGGAAAGATGCATGGACCTGCGGGAAAGATGCATGGACCTGCGGGAAAGATGCATGGACCTGCGGGAAAGATGCATGGACCTGCGGGAAAGATGCATGGACCTGCGGGAAAGATGCATGGACCTGCGGGAAAGATGCATGGACCTGCGGGAAAGATGCATGGACCTGCGGGAAAGATGCATGGACCTGCGGGAAAGATGCATGGACCTGCGGGAAAGATGCATGGACCTGCGGGAAAGATGCATGGACCTGCGGGAAAGATGCATGGACCTGCGGGAAAGATGCATGGACCTGCGGGAAAGATGCATGGACCTGCGGGAAAGATGCATGGACCTGCGGGAAAGATGCATGGACCTGCGGGAAAGATGCATGGACCTGCGGGAAAGATGCATGGACCTGCGGGAAAGATGCATGGACCTGCGGGAAAGATGCATGGACCTGCGGGAAAGATGCATGGACCTGCGGGAAAGATGCATGGACCTGCGGGAAAGATGCATGGACCTGCGGGAAAGATGCATGGACCTGCGGGAAAGATGCATGGACCTGCGGGAAAGATGCATGGACCTGCGGGAAAGATGCATGGACCTGCGGGAAAGATGCATGGACCTGAGGGAAAGATGCATGGACCTGAGGGAAAGATGCATGGACCTGCGGGAAAGATGCATGGACCTGCGGGAAAGATGCATGGACCTGCGGGAAAGATGCATGGACCTGCGGGAAAGATGCATGGACCTGCGGGAAAGATGCATGGACCTGCGGGAAAGATGCATGGACCTGCGGGAAAGATGCATGGACCTGCGGGAAAGATGCATGGACCTGCGGGAAAGATGCATGGACCTGCGGGAAAGATGCATGGACCTGCGGGAAAGATGCATGGACCTGCGGGAAAGATGCATGGACCTGAGGGAAAGATGCATGGACCTGCGGGAAAGATGCATGGACCTGCGGGAAAGATGCATGGACCTGCGGGAAAGATGCATGGACCTGCGGGAAAGATGCATGGACCTGCGGGAAAGATGCATGGACCTGCGGGAAAGATGCATGGACCTGCGGGAAAGATGCATGGACCTGCGGGAAAGATGCATGGACCTGCGGGAAAGATGCATGGACCTGCGGGAAAGATGCATGGACCTGCGGGAAAGATGCATGGACCTGCGGGAAAGATGCATGGACCTGCGGGAAAGATGCATGGACCTGCGGGAAAGATGCATGGACCTGCGGGAAAGATGCATGGACCTGCGGGAAAGATGCATGGACCTGCGGGAAAGATGCATGGACCTGCGGGAAAGATGCATGGACCTGAGGGAAAGATGCATGGACCTGAGGGAAAGATGCATGGACCTGCGGGAAAGATGCATGGACCTGCGGGAAAGATGCATGGACCTGCGGGAAAGATGCATGGACCTGCGGGAAAGATGCATGGACCTGCGGGAAAGATGCATGGACCTGCGGGAAAGATGCATGGACCTGCGGGAAAGATGCATGGACCTGCGGGAAAGATGCATGGACCTGCGGGAAAGATGCATGGACCTGCGGGAAAGATGCATGGACCTGCGGGAAAGATGCATGGACCTGCGGGAAAGATGCATGGACCTGCGGGAAAGATGCATGGACCTGCGGGAGTGAGTCGATGAAGGAGATGAGTTTGACCAATAATGAAGAAGATGAAGGAGACGAGGAGTGACACACTAGAAACGAATGAAGGAGACGAGGAGTGACACACTAGAAACGAATGAAGGAGACGAGGAGTGACACACTAGAAACGAATGAAGGAGACGAGGAGTGACACACTAGAAACGAATGAAGGAGACGAGGAGTGACACACTAGAAACGAATGAAGGAGACGAGGAGTGACACACTAGAAACGAATGAAGGAGACGAGGAGTGACACACTAGAAACGAATGAAGGAGACGAGGAGTGACGCACTAGAAACGAATGAAGGAGACGAGGAGTGACACACTAGAAACGAATGAAGGAGACGAGGAGTGACGCACTAGAAACGAATGAAGGAGACGAGGAGTGACACACTAGAAACGAATGAAGGAGACGAGGAGTGACGCACTAGAAACGAATGAAGGAGACGAGGAGTGACACACTAGAAACGAATGAAGGAGACGAGGAGTGACACACTAGAAACGAATGAAGGAGACGAATGACACAAGCATGCTTTGCGCTGCACCCAGAAGTTGCAGGTGCAAGTGGCGGCAGAAAGGCGATACTTTGTGGAGAGACGATTGCAGGCGAGCCTCGGTTTGCCTCCACTGCTGCGCTGCTGCCACGTGCTGCTCTGCTCGCTGCTCCACCTGCCATGCCACGTGGAATGCATGTGGCATGACATGGACAGGTCAGAGGAGGATAGGTGAACAAGGGAGCAGCGGGCGAGCAGTGGGCAGTGGGCAGCGGGCAGGGCAGTGGGCAGCGGGCAGCGGGCAGCGGGCAGCGGGCAGCGCATCAGATCCAAACTCTACCTTCCCAGAGAAAAGGCCGCTTACCGATCCAAAAGGCCCTTCCCTTCTCTTTTGGCTTACCTGCTTGACCCGCTCGCTTAGCTCATCAGCCCGCTTCCTGGAATCTTCCAGGCGTTGCTCTGCGCACTGCTTCTGACCCACAGCCTGGCAAATAGGAGATGTGCGGCATCGGGCAATGGGGGACATAGCGGCACAACAAGGGCATGGGGGCATGAGGGCATGAGGGCATGAGGGCATGGGGGCATGAGGGCATGGGGGCATGAGGGCATGAGGGCATGGGGGCACAGGGGCAATGAAGGAATGATATGCTGGAACAGCGGGTAAGTGAGCAGGAGGGGAGGAGGAAAAGGAAGGTGGTGGACAACTGTCAGCATGACGCGATGGACCGACAAGGCAAGCACAATCAGCGACCTTGCAGGGAGTTTTTGAGAACTCTCAAAAACTCCCTGCAACGCGATGGGCCGACAAGGCAAGCACAATCAGCGACCTTGCAGGGAGTTTTTGAGAACTCTCAAAAACTCCCTGCAACGCGATGGGCCGACAAGGCAAGCACAATCAGCGACCTTCCAGGGAGTTTTTGAGAACTCTCAAAAACTCCCTGCAACGCGATGGGCCGACAAGGCAAGCACAATCAGCGACCCCGTTATTGTCGCTTTTGAAATTCCTCAAGAGTGGCAATAACGACCCTGGTGCCTTCTGGCCCTCCCCTCTCAGCCTGAAGACCCGCCTCAGCCCTCCGTCCTGTACGAGAGAGTTTCCCAGAACTCAACCTCAACTTAAATTCCCCCCAGCCCCTCCCCAGACGTTTCTCCAGACTCCACCTCTATGAGCCTTGCTTGCATCTGCTCCATTTCTCTCCTGTGTTGCTCCGCCCTTCTTTGCTGCTCCTCCTCCGCCGCCTGCTTCTGCTGCCGCCACTCCGTCTCCACCTGCCGATTGCACGTGAGGCAGAGCAGGTGTGAGGCAAAGGGGGTGTGAGGCAAAGAGGGTGTGAGGCAAAGGGGGTGTGAGGCAAAGAGGGTGTGAGGCAAAGGGGGTGTGAGGCAAAGGGGGTTTCAGACCAGGCGGGTGAAAGGACGGCAGGGAGGCAAGGAAGAGGAGTGGAAGAGAGGAATGAATGAGGCGCAGGAGAAGTGGTGAAGTGGCTGACAAAAGCACGGCGAACCACATGCACGAAGAGAAAGAGAAAACTTAGGCACCTGGGCGCTGTGCTGCTGGGCTTCTCTCAGAGCCCGCTGCAGCTGCTGCTGCTCTTGCTGGTGGGATCAGCCAAGGGACGAGAAGGGAGGGGAGACAAAAGGGAGGCAAAGGGGAGGCGGAGGGGAGGCAAGGGGAGGCAGAGGGGAGATGAAGGGAGAGGAAGGGCCGAGCAAGGGAGGGTCGAGTTGAGATTGGAGAGCGTAGACAAAGGGGGGGAGGGATGGGCTGGAGTCGCGCACACTCCCACTGACCAGCAAGCCACATGTGCGCGCGAGAGTGCATACGCCACACGCACCCACCCCCCCACACCCAGCACACACCCACCCCCCCACACCCAGCACACACCCTGGTATGGTGCCTCGCCTGCTGCAACAATCACCGTTCCTTCCATCCCTCCCTCACCTGCACCTCCCCCAGTTGCGCCTGAGCTGCGGCAAGCTGCTGCGCTGCTCGGGATTGCTCCTGGTCAGAGGGGGATAGGAGAGGTGCAAAAGCCAAGTCGGAGGAGCATGGCCCAAGCACTGTGAAGGCAGGTTGAAAACAATATGAGGGCTGTATGAAAGAAACATGGGGGCAGCATGAGAGGAATATGTATACAAGGGTGGAGAGAATGGTGCAACGAAAACAGAGGTGAACAAGAGTGAGGGGAGGGGGGACAACAAGAGGAGACGGGTGATAAACAGGGTGTGTGCTAAAGGGGCTTGAGGGTCAATGTGAGAGATGGTGTGGAGGGCAGGCAACCACGCATAAACAACATGAATGCACACATGCATGCACACAGACAGCAGCAGTAACAGCATGGCATAAAAGTGGTCAATGCCAAGAATGGGTTTTCACCTGATTCTGTGCTGTTTTCACCTGAGCATGGGCGGTTTTCAAGGAATCCATGGATTGTCGCTGCGATGCCACCTCAGCATGCAGAGATGACAGCTAGCATAAAATGATTGGAAAACAGGAGGAAGGAGATCAGAAGCAGGCAGGAGCAAGGAAAAATGAGAGCAGGCACGCATGTGATGTGAGTAGCAGCGCCATTTGAAACGGGAGTGCTACAGGCAGTGGACGAGGCCGTCCTGCCAGTGAGGTGCGATAAGAGCATAAGCCCTGACCTTATCGCACCTCGCTGTCAGTGAGAAGCGATCATAAGCAGCAGCAGCAGCGGCAGCAGCAGCAGCAGCAGCAGCAGCGGCAGCAGCACTGACCTCCTCATGTGCTTCCTGCAATTCTCCTCTGAGCTTCTGAGCCTCCTGCTGCTGGCTGCTCGCCCGCCTGCAAGGCAAATGGGAGCGAAGCATGTGCATGCCGCTGCTGGGAGGCACAGCACAGTGGCACGGCCACACAGTGGCACGGCCACACAGTGGCACGGCCACACAGTGGCACGGCGACACAGTGGCACGGCCACACAGTGGCACGGCCACACAGTGGCACGGCGACACAGTGGCACGGCCACACAGTGGCACGGCCACACAGTGGCACGGCCACACAGTGGCACGGCCACACAGTGGCACGGCCACACAGTGGCACGGCCACACAGTGGCACGGCCACACAGTGGCACGGCCACACAGTGGCACGGCCACACAGTGGCACGGCCACACACACAGTGGGACGGTACCAAGGTAGGAATTTACAACGCTCTGCAAGGCAAGCAGCGGGTGACACGGTTTCGCACGTCTACACCTCTAGGCAACGCGAGCCAGGCAGCGGGTCACTAGGCGCTAGCCATCCGCTGCTGACATATCAGGTTGCCAGTGCCCCTCTCTCACCCTGCCAGCAACCCCCTACCCAGCAGCACCCACCCTGCCAGCACCCCCCTACCCAGCACCCACCAAGTGACCTACTTAGTTGCTTCCTGAGCCTCCGCAGTCGCCTGAGCTAGCTGTGCCTCCAGCTGCTTCATCCTCGCCTCGCCCTCCCCCACGTGCCTCTCTAGCTCACACGCCCGCTGCTGCTGCTCCTCCGCCTTCCGCCTCTGCACCTCCCTCTGCCGCCGCTCCTCTTCACCCTGCACCCAGTGTAACGAACAATGTGTAGCAGTGGATAAAATATAGGTGAACCTAACTCCGGCCAATCAAATTTCAGAGCTTCGCACACCAAAGAACTTGAATTATCCGCCCCTCACCTGTGCCTTGGCACGAGCCAGCTCAGCTTCCAAAGAGCTCACAGCTCCACGCAGCTCCCTCTCTGCCGCTGCCCTCTGCACCGCCTCCTCCCTCGCTGCTGCCCTCGCCGCCTCCCCCTCCGCCCGTGCTGCCCTCACCTCACCCTCACATCGCTGCACTAACTTTCTCGCCACCTCCCTCTCCTCCCTCGCTGCTGACACCTCCTTCTGCATCCGTTCACGCGTTGCCCTTGTCACCATCTCTTGTGCTCTTGCTGCTGCCCCCTCTGCCTTCGCTGCTGCGAGCTCCTTTTCGGAACATTCCAGCCTCCTCCGCGCTGCCTCGCCCTTCGCCCTCGCAGCTGCCCCCTCAGCCCTGGCGGCTGCGAGCTCGTGTGAGAGCGTCCGAATCTGCTGCTCCATGGCCGCCTGGGGGTGGGGAGACACAGGACACACGAGAAGTGGACACCAGTTAGGTGCCATTGCTTTAATACGTGGCAGCAACTTGGGTTCAACACCTGTAAAATGTCAGTAGTACTTTGTAAAAAATGCTTGTATAAAAATCACGGTGGTAACCGGTTTCGGCTAAAATGCCTTCTTCAGACCACAAGCGATCTACTGAACGCGTACTACTTTATATGCCTAGAAAATGTCATCCTAGACTCAGGCCCGCGCGGGAAATCTTCGCTGCGGCGAGTACGGGAACAACAGGCAAAAGCGAGATGAGAGAAAAAGTGTAACAGCAACAAAACTACTGTAGTCTAACACTTATTAGCAGAAATCAAATAACTGCCAACTCTCTTAGGTAATCTCCATGCGATTATAGCTCTCCTTGATGAAAAAATGTCGTGTGCCATAGTAACGAGGTGACTTTTGAGTCGACTCAAAAGTCATGGCCGCCTGGGGGTGGGGAGACACAGGACACACGAGGGCGGGGGGGCGAAGAAGAAGGGGTCACATCACGCCCAGACGACTCAGTGCTGCACTGCACGACAACAGGAGAGAGTATTTGGCTGGTTAGCCATGCCATGCCATGCCATGCCATGCAAGCATCTTACTCGCAGAAGCGCATCTCGCTCCAGCGATGCAAGACGCTCCTCCATGCCCATAGCCATCGCATGCACGCCTTGCACCTCCTTCGCTCCATGCACGCCCTTCCCTCCTCCCACTTCTCCCACTCCATCCATCTCTATCCCTTGTGCTTCCCCCACTCGCTCCCTCACCACCTCTCTCCCCTCCTCTCCCGCCCTCCCCTTGCTTCCACCACACCTCTCCACCCCAACTGCCCCTGCCCTGCCTGTGCGCCAGTTGCCCCTCTCCTCTGCCCCCACCGCCCCACCTGCTACCCCCCTCTCTCCCGTCACCCCAACCCCTGCTCTCATCACAGCACCATCCCTACAACTCCCGCCTCTGCCTAATCTCGTCTCCCCACGCTCACCCCCCTCCTTCCCCCTTTGCTCCCCTCCCTGCTCATGACCTCCTGCCCTCTCCTCGCGCAAGTCCATGCATCCCCATTCCTCCCCTACTCCTCCTTCCCCACCTCCCCTCAACTCTGCGCCACTGTCTCCTAGCCTCTCCCCCTCACAACCCCTCACTTCCCCCCATCCCACTCTCTTCTCCCTGCCAAGCATACTCCCCACCGCTTCTCCCAGCGTTTCCCCCAACGTTCCCCCCAACGTTTCCCCCAACGTTCCCCCCAACGTTTCCCCCAACGTTCCCCCCAACGTTCCCCCCAACGTTCCCCCCAATGTTCCCCAGGTCATCCCCCCTCGTCCCACCTCCCCGCCACCTCCCTCATCTCCCCTTGCAGTCATAGCTGCCCCTCCTCCCGCCATCTCTGCGCCTCTGACCCCTTCCCCCCTTCCCCCCACTCCCCTCCTTCCTCTTGAATGCCCCTCCTCCCCATCTCTCCTCTCCCCGGCAGCAAAAGTTTGATCTTGGTCCATCCTCCTTCTCTTCGCCCCACCCTCCCTCTCATCCCCACCCACCGGACCTGTTTCCGAACCTGATGCCTCGGAATCTGAGCCTCCTTCCCTACCCACACCTAGACCCAGCCTATCTATGCCCACAGCTCCACCCCCCTTCGCCGTCCCAACCCCTGCCGCTGCTGCTCCCTCCACCCCTCCCCTCAATCCAAATCCCATTCCCCTCACATCCCCTCCCCTTCCCCCATCGCCCTCCTCTCCCTCCTCCCTTGCCCCCCTCCCTCTCACCTCTCCAGACCCCTCCTCCCCTCGCCTGCCGCCCCTCTCCCTGCCAGCGAAAGGACTCTGCCTCACTAGCTGCCGAACGTCGCCACCCACCAGGTCCAGCTGCTGCCGCTGCACTGCCTTCCACTCCCGCTGCTCCCTCTGGTGCTGCTGCTTCTGCTCCTGATGCTTCTTCTGCTGCCTCTGCCTCTGCTGCTGCTGCTGCTGCCGCTGCTGCTGAGTGGGCTGTGGCTGCTGCTGCTGCTTCTGCTTCTGCTGTCCCATCACTCGTGTCTCACCAGCCTCTAATCCCCTCCCTCCTGTGGCCTCCCCTGCACGGCCACGCCCACACCTCACCACACCACCATCGCCCTCTCCCTCTGCCTTGTGTCCCCCACCCACACGCCATGGCCCCAGCCCTGTGGTGGCCCTGCGAGCCGTACACTGGGCCTGCTCCCCGCCTGCTGCTGCTGCTACCGCTGGTGCTGCCGCTGGTGGAGCAGCAGCTGCTGCTGCCGCTGCTTCTTCTGCCTCCTCTGCTGCTGCTGCAGGTGCAGGAGGCAATTTCGCACCTCCAGCTGCTGCAGCAGTGGAGCCAGCAGCATCAGCAGCAGCTCTACCAGCGGCAGCACCAGCGGTAGCAAAAACCACAGCCGGGCTAGCAGCAGCAGCAGCAGCATGAGGTAGAGCACAAGTGGCACGTGCAGCCTTGGCGTTGCCTCTATGCTCGTCATCTGCTCCTCTCCTCTTCACGCCCACCATTACTGGTGCACCTGCTGTTGCTGCTGCTGCTGCTCCTCCTCCTTCTCTCACAGCTGTTGCTGCTTGAGGAGATGTAACCGGTGCTGCCGCCGGTGATGCTCCTACCTTTGCCACTTTCCCTGCTTCTGCATCTCCCCCTCCTTCTCCTCCCACAGCCACGTGTCGATCACACGGGCCTACTCTTGCTGCCCCACGTGTGCCAGCAGCAACCCCTGCACTGACACGTGTCGCTCCACGATTGGCTCGCAGCAGTCTGGGGACAGCTGACTGGAGGCCTGGAATCTCGCTTCCCCCATGTTCATGCTCGCCTGCAGATGTGGCAGCAGGTGATTGGCTGGATGCTGGGAAGGCGGCAGGAAGGTTCCGGAGAGCAAAGAGGTCGGCGTATGATTGGTCTGCAGGGCAGGCACGAGTGTGGGGCAGAGAGGGGGGGGGTGGAGGAAAGGATGAAAACTTTCCTTTTTCGGTAAGATAATGAGAGTGGTTTCACTCGCAGGTTGTATTTTGAGACGTCTCAAAACACTTCTTCAAACACGTGATAATGAGAGTGGTTTCACTCGCAGGTTGTACTGGTGAGTACCTGGATGGGAAACGGTCATGGCTTGGGCATGGTGAGTGTGGACGGAGTTGAGGAGACAGAGCGAAACGGAGAGGTCCAACCCAACGACTGTGCACGAACCCTCTCCATGCGCCCACCCATCCCCTGACATCTCTCACACCCACCGTTGCCACCATAGCCGCCAAAGAGGAGCAGCGGCCCCCAGTGCACTACGGAGTGCGCTGCCTCGCTCGCTGCTTTCTTTTGAGTCGACTCAGTCAAACACACCCATCCCCCAACGTCGCTCACACCCACCGTTGCCACCATAGCCGCCAAAGAGGAAGAGCGACCGCCCCCAGTGCACCACAGAGTGCGCCGCCCTCCCTGCTGGCCCCACTGCTCCGCTCCCCCCCCACCCGCCTCTGTCATTCCCCCCCTCGCCCACACGTGCAGGCACGGCGGGCATGGGCGCGGAGGAGGGGAGAGTGGCGATGCGGTGCCAGGCGAGGGAGATGGGTGCAGAGAGATGAGCGGATGGGGGTGATGGCGGTGTGCTGTGTGGCGGGGCTTTGGCCTGGACAAGAGAAGTGGGGTAGGGAGACGAGAGGAAGAAGAGGGTGAGTGATGTGGCTGTGGGATGCTGCCTGCCTGCCTGCCTGCCAGCAAGGAGCCTCGCTGGGTTGCTTGTCAGTGCCATCGTCTCCACTCATGGCAACGTGCATGGTACGGCATGGCATGGCATGGCATGGCATGGCATGGCATGGCAGGGAAGCACGAGAGGGCGCACCTGCAGCAGCCAGAGGTCATCCAAGCGCTCCTTCTTTACGCGCCCCCCATGCACCACTGCCATCCCGCCCCCGACACCTGTCGCAGCGTGATTGGACCGCGGCTGCGCATGAGGCCCCCCTGCTGCTACTGTAGGCTGCTCCCACGCATTGGTTAGCGGGTTGTACGCCCTGGGGAAAGGGAGAGGGGGAAGAGGAGGGGAGAAGGGGGAAGTGTGAGGTTTCCCCTGGTGCCACCGTGAGGGTGGGAAAAAGGCTGCTCCCACGCGTTGGTTAGCGGGTTGTACGCCCTGGGGGTTGGCGGGGTGGGGAGGCGTAGAGAGGAGCAGGGAGGACTGGTGGGCATGGGGCATGGGGCAATGGGGGAGGATGAGGTGGAAGGGGTGCAAGAGCACCTGAAGCTCACCTGAAGAACACACAAGCAACACCTGTAATCACCTGAAGAACAACCAAGAAACGCCTGAAACTCACCTGAAGAACAGTACAGTCAAGCAACATCTGACATTTTTCTGAACAACAGCCAAGCAACACGTGAAAATCACCTAGAGTAAGCGTGCCAGGGACGTACCAGAGGCTGTGCTGCTCCTTGTCGGCCCGCTGCTTGGTCTTCCCCCCAAAGACAATGGCGCGGCCGGCAAGGTTTGTCATGGAGTGGTAGCCGCGCGCGGGGGGCGGGGAGCCTGAGGGGCTCAGGTCATGCCAGCTCAGCGAGTCTGGCGCAGGAGGGCAGCAGGGCGGTGGGGGGGGGGGGGGGGGGGGGGGGGAGGCATGGGAGAGAAGGGGGATCCAGGGGGAAGGGAGTTTGAGGAGCAGGGAGAGAGGGGGGGAGAGGGGCCTGTGTTTAGGTGGTGGCTGATGAGCGAGCAAAAAAGGAGGTGGGGGGGGTGGGGAGGGGGGAAAGCAAGCAGCAGCACTGGGTGGCTTATTCATTCAAAGATGGTGGGTGTTGGAACATTGGGGGGTATTCAAAGACGCGGTGTGGTGTGTGTGTGCGACGCAAAAGGATGGGCCGGCAGGAGTAGGGGAAGGGGATGTCTTCGACTACAGAGCACAGCACAAAGCATTGTAGCGGATTCACCTGTATCGAGTACACAGAGATCATCGAGGAACTCGAGCGTGGGTCCGTTGCCACCGTATCCCCCGTGGATGAGCAGCCACGTGGCATGCTGTGGATGCACCACGGCAGCATGTGTGACACGTGGGTACTCTGCATACCTGCCACGTGTCTGCACCTGCCTCCACTGCAAACGAGCGGAGACAACATGGGGGGAAAGGCGGGAGGGGGAGTAGGAGCACAATGGACGGGGATGGGTGTGAAGTGAGGTAGGGGGGTGGCGGAAGGAGAAGTGATATGGGTGGGTGGAAAGCAAGCAGGTGTGACTGACTTTCCTCTGAAATTTTGCAAAAGCAATGAACAGATGATAAAACGGGTGAGCACTCGTCTCTTACAGCTCGCCTTCTAACCACCCGCGTGCCCACCTCCTTCCCATATGACCACCCTCCCCCGCTTCCCCCACTACGCCCCCATTCTCTTCCCCTATGCGCGTACTCTCCCCTCCTTACGCGCCTCTCTGCCCCGTGGCACCTCCCTTGTTCGCCCGTATTCCCCTCATGCGCCTACTTTCCCCCCTTCTGCGCAGCTTCCCCTCATGTGCACACCTACCCCCCCGCCCCCCCGCGCGCGCACCTCCCGGGTGCGCGTGTTGAAAGCGAACACGTCGTGCTTCACGGCGCGCTCGTCGCTGCCGCCCACCACCCAGATCTCACACTCCCCGACAAGTGTCGCGCTGTGATAGGCTCGCGGGGAGAATGGCGCGTGCTCGTTAATTAACTCCCATCTGACTGCTCCTCCTCCCTCCGCTCCTCCTACCCCACCTCGTCGCTCTCCCGGTTTGCAACCCGTCTCGCTCCCGTCGCAAGTAGGTCCTGCGACGTCTTCGCAGGCAGAAAGGTCGCACAGCCAAACGTCGTTGGCGTGCGTGCGATTGGCCAATCGCCCGCCCATGACGTACATACAGCTGCCGACGGGCGTGGCGCTGTGGCCGACACGTGGCACGAGGCCATTTGGTACTGCGCGAGACAGCAACGACAGACATCGTAATCAGGACAGGTTCCCTCGGGCTGCTGACAGAAACACTAATTGATGGGCCCACGTGGTATTTGGACGTGCTATGGGATGCGACAATCAGACAAACGCTCGGGACTGCCTACTAGTCGTTCATGTTTTCATGCGCATCGTGGTCTGGTTTCACCCACCTTGTAGCTGCTGCCAGAACGGCACGGTGCTGCTACCGCGAGCCATGCATGCTGTGGGGTGGGTTGTCGATTAGAGTTTTACTTTGAGCGCATGTCTCATCGATGCGCATTACCACTTGACTTTCTTGTGCCCACACATTACTATCAACATTCATTTGTTGAAATAACACATCACTAACCCGTTTGAACAAAAAACATGGCTACTAAACCCGTATGATTGAAGTCTAACAATTAGGTAGGTTTTCCCGTTGTTTCATATAACTCAGTTGCATTTGTGATGCCCTGATCAGAAAGCTCTGGTTGTATGCTCACTACGACATTCGGCAAGGTACGCTTGCAAAATATAAATGGGGGAAACTAAGTTAATATTGAGATACTGCAAGGAACAAAACTGTGTATCATCGACTGATTGGAAGGCTATTTACAATGTAGAGCATCTACAAGTCGATAGCCCTCTTCGAGGTGAACTTGACAACAGCGGGATCAACGTTCTTGCCGATGGAGCGCAGGTTCACGTTGGCGTTGGCACGGCCAGCATTCACCTTCTCGGGGTACACGCCGTCCTTGGGGTGCAGGTACTGCACCTCGCCGCTGGGGAACACGCGGTAGAACTGGTAGTTGATCTTGAACTTTGTCCTGAGCTGGGTGCCGAGCGCGAGGCACTGCTCCTTCCTGGCGAGCTTCAGAAGGTTGGGGCCCGCGCGCATGATGGCGGCACCACCGGTGGGCATCTCGAAGATCTGCTCCTTCTTGGCCTCCCACGTGATCACGTAGAACTCCTCGACCTGGGCCTTGCGGAGAAGGCCGCCGGTGCTGCCGCCGAAGATGGGCGACGGCGTGTCGGACTTCAGCTCGGGAGGGGAGAAGCCGGCGGGAGCCTCCGCAGCCATGGTCAGGCGCGCGGGAGCGGCCTTCACGGCGAGGGAAGCGCCGGCGAAGCTCTTGGCATTGAGCTTCTGGTTCTTGGCGCCGAACACGGCAGCCACGCGGACAGCAGAGGAAGAGGCGACGGCGGCCATTGTGTGATTTTTGCTGGTCAGGCGTGGCTGGGATGAGTTCGGCGGAGAGTGGAGGTCAAGTGCTGCCTGTACAACAAGGGTTTGCAGATGACAGGTAGGAAATGAGGAGCTCCTGATAACAAATGCGTAGGCTCAGCGGCTGTGGACACCCCCTCAATCTCCGCGCTGCTGCTCAGCGTTTGCCTGGGAGCCGTTGTGGATGACGCTTGGAAAGCAACATTCCAGGCCTATCTTGGCTGACCAATCAGAGATGGACCTGACCTCGCAGAACCCATGCCGCCAATTCCTGTGAGCCAATCGAACGGAACCAAAAGGTCTAAGGATAGCCGTAGACCAATGAAGGGTCATCCTAGCTGTGCGAGATGCACCTGGTATCGCGGGGCTGTTTTGTCGCTCAAACGATATTTTTCCAAAATTGCTATAGGTAACTACGTTTATACAATATACTTTCAACCAGATTACTAGATGAAGGGAAACAAAATGTTTCAGAAGCAAATACAACCCTTCCATTTTTCAACACATCCTAAAAAGGAGGCTACAAAAATGTATTTAGGAACACGATTTCTCTACATCAAATATAAAACATTACTGCAATCGCATTATCTCATTGCCACCTAACTCTTCCTTCAAGCAGTTGAATGCACAGCAGCAGCTGCCTCTACACCTTGAGCTGACCGTCCACTCTCCTGGGCAAGCTTGCAAAACAGTGCCACAGATTCTTCAGGAGTCCCCTGCACCACTCCATGCCCCACATTGAGGATGTGCTTCCTGCCTCCTGCCTTGCTCAAGCAATCAGCCACAGCTGCTCTGATGGACGCCTCTGGACCAAACAGAACCATCGGGTCCACATTCCCCTGAAGAACATGAATGAAAGGGGGGAGGGGGGAAGGGTTGGGGAGGGGTTAAGAGGTGGAGGAATGTGGTGAGGGGGGTGGAGAGGTTGGGCACATGGGAAGCATTGTGGGCAAGATACATTCTGACTGACAGCAATGTAAAAATAAAACAAACATGGAGAAAAAGGTCAAAGGCACACTGGGAACACCCAAGCCCATGCGAGGCACAGTCCGCCTCACCTGCAGCACGGTATCACTGCCAAACACACGCCTAGCCTCAGCCATATCAGTGCCCCAGTCGAGCCCCACCACGTCAGCACTGCTCCCCTGCTGCACCAGGTGCAGCTTGCCGGTGCCGCCATTCCCATGGAAGATGAGCGGCGTGTGCGGGTGCAGCTGCTTCACGCGCTGCACGATGCGCTCGGCGTACGGCAGGCTGAACTCGGCGAACTGGGCGGGTGTGAGGTGGTGTGCCCACGAGTCAAAGAGCTGCACGATGTGCGCCCCACAGCTGATCTGGTGGCTCACATAGACGACTAGAGCGTCCTCCAAGGCCGCCAGGATGCCATGCAGCAGCTCCGGCTCTGAAAGAGGGGTGGGGTGAGGGGGAAGCATGGGGACATGGAGAGGCGAGTGGAAGATGAGTGGTGTTTGCAGGTGCCTCACGTACACCACCAGCGCGTCCTCCAAGGCTGCCAGGATGCCATGCAGCAACTCCGGCTCTGACAGTGGTGGGAAAGGGGTGAGGTGAGGGTTGAGATGAGGGGTAAAAAGAGGGGAGAGTCGAGGGAGGCATGGAAGCATGGAGGTATGGAGGAGGAAGGTTGCTGTGCAACGCTGGCTGCTAATTCCCTCCTTGGTTCATGCAAGCATGGCACACTCAAAACCACTCGTTTAGCTCTCAGGTAGCCCACCACGCTGCACCCATCCACCTTGAGCATGCGACTACAAGCCTACCCAGCCAGCCACTGACCATGCAGCATCATGCGTTTGGTGGCGAGCAGGTTCTTGCTGCCCTGCCCCTCGATGGCGTATGCTGCCAGCGTCCACGGCGTGCCCACAAACCCCAGCAGCGTCGCCTCGCTGCCCGCCAGCTCGCGCCGCAGCGAAGTGAGGATCTCGCGGATGAACGGCAGCTTGGCATCCGGGTCCTCCAGGGGCCTGCGTGTTGGCCGATGGGGGCGAGGCGAGGAAGAAGGGGGGGTCCGGGGGTTGCTGAGGCGAGGTGCCTCAACGAGCACAATTGCTTGAGTGAGCTTGCAATTCAGCCTCCAACAAGGCAATTCTGGTTGGATTCAGCCTGTGTCAGCTTGCAAGCTTGAAGGCTTGAGCATGATGACGTGGTCTCGGCACATGTCAGGTCAGCGAGGCATTGTCCTCTGGACTTCTTTAGATCCCGGGCCCACTGTTCCATTTCCCGTTTGTTTGTCCCTTAGTGGCCCTGTCTTTTAAGGCTATTGACCTGGGTTGTCCACACTCATTTACCCCCCCCCCCCCTTCCCGCCTGCTTCTCCATTTCCCCTCCATGCTCCCCACATTCTCCGCTTTTTCCCAATCAGCACCCTCACGTGGGTCCACTAGGTCGGCCGTGCTGCCAAGGGAATCAGCATCAGCAAGTCCACCGCTCTTTACCCATTCAATTTCCGTACATCTTCACGAGGAAGGCTCCTCGCCGCCCGCCTCCCTTCCTTCCTCCCCCATTCATCATCCAGCACCCTCCTCTCACCCTCCTCGCACCCTCCTTTCGCCCTCCTCTCACCCTCCTTTCGCCCTCCTCTCACCCTCTTTTCGCCCTCCTCTCGCCCTCCTTTCGCCCTCCTCTCGCCCTCCTCTCACCCTCCTCTCGCCCTCCTCTCACCCTCCTCTCGCCCTCCTCTCACTCTCCTCTCACCCTCCCTCACCCTGCCCTCGTCTCGCCCCCTCCCTCCCCCTTCTCCCCTTCTCCCCGCCCGCCTCCCTACCTTCCTCTTCCACCACTCACTTGAGGTCGCGCAGGTCCGCCGCGGTGCGCAGCGGGTCTGCAATGACAGGCCCCTTGCCCTTGACCATGTCGAATTCCACCCCGAGCGCGGGCAGGATGGTGAGGATATCAGAGAACATGATCACGCCGTCCGTGCCGAACGCCTTCCACGGCTGCAGCGTCAGCTCGATCGCAATCTCCGCCGTCTCCGACCGCATGCGGAACGGATACTTGTCCGAGAACCTGCGCGCAAGGGGGGAGGGGGGAGAATGGGGAAAGGAATGGGGAGGAAGAAGGGTGTTCGTTGCCTTCAAATGAATGCAGAACGGGTACTTTATTGAAGAATTTGCGGGGATGCGGCACCCAAACAGTTCGACTGACAACGATACCTCAGGCGTGGGACACGGGGGAAACGACACAGAGATGGGGGAAGAGGAGGCGGGGAGGGGGGAGGAAGGTTTGAATTGTTGAGGGAGGATAGTTCTTTCGTTGTGACAGCGCTACAGGGTTCGGAAAGGAAGCGTGCGGAGAGGGGGGCGGGGGGCGGAAGCACGTACTTGCGGAAGTCTTTCATGTAGCGCCCCGCCTGGCGCATGAGCCACACGGGCGTCCTCTCCGCGTCTGCCACGCACCACGGGACCGCGCGCACACTTAGTCACGTGCACCGACATGCACACACATGTAGTCGTATGCACATGTATGAACACACGATTACTCACACGCGCTCACATGCACTCACACGCGCCGACACCCATCCATACCCTTCTCCACACCTCCACACCGCACAGCACCGCGCATCACCACACACCACCACGACGAGCTGATTGACAGCAGATTCGTCCTACCACTGATGGAATGCGAAATTATGCGACAACGACGAGCTGATTGGCTGCCTAGCTGACACGCGGGAATTCCGTCGCGAAGAGCATGAGCTTGCCGGATGTTACCAGGCTCAGACACGCAGCCTTGCTTGTAATCCACCACGCTTACACCACGCTCACACCACACTCACACACGAGCTGAGTGACTGCATATAATCGTACGAACATTCACGTTCACATGCTTCGCGCGGGGGACTGACCTTCTCCGCGCGCCACGCGCAGCAGCAGCGGATCCCGCGCGCCGTCGTGGAGAATCTCCGCCGTCGAGCATCGGCACTTCCCGCGCCCCTCCGCCACGCTCGATCCCGCACGCACCGCTCGCTTCGCGGAGGGGAAAGCGACAGAGGTCGCGGCACCGGAGATGCCGTTGCTGGAGGATGCCACGTGGCTGAGCTTGGCGGGAACGGAAACTGCGGTCGACAATCCCGAGGTGGCAGCCATTGTTCCGGAATTACTACTAAAAGGCTTTATTCTGGGAAGTCAGGCCGCAGCGACAAGAAAGTGAAGGGTTAGGCCGCCTGGCGCCAGACAGAGTGAGAGCTGAATGGCTGTCACAACGTAATGCCCACACTGTTTCGACTGACGAAATCTGTCAAACTGACGACCAGTCGCCTGTGCCTAAAGCAATGCTCGGAAAAGGAAGGAGGTGAATGATGCAGGGAATTGGAGAATGGGAGGATGGGCTGACAGAGCATATGGAAAGCCGAAGCGCAACCCCAGGGATGTCTGGGTGAGGTGACGTGTCCCTCGACGGATTTCGTTGTCCACGTGTTAGGTTTGGGATTGCCGAGTTCGGAACAGGCAGGTCAATTACTGAAATTACTTTTCAGATGATTGTTTTATATTTACAATGGCACACCATAAGTGCAGTACCTATATGTGCTTGAAAAGGATCTAGCAAGAGCGAGGTTTTGCAGGAAGAGAGCCCTTGAACCTGGATCTGTAGCGTGGAATCATCTTCTGCCACCGTGTCTAGAGCATCACCGATTGGCTGAAGTCTACAATCCAGCTCACCGCGTCATCTTTTCCCTCCATTCAGCGCACGAGGTGTACGCTCTCCCCCAATGCCTTCTCAACGCGCGCAGCACTCGCGCGACATGGAAATTCTGATTCAGGGCATCCACACCCTCTTTCCCAGTTTTTGTGCTGCATTCTCAATTCACTTCCTTTAGCACGGCCAAAATCGGTTTCCTATGACATATGTACGGTACAGTGCGTTTCGCATCAATTCCTTTAGGAATTGAGCACGTTTTGTGCGCCCAGCCCATCAACAAACAAGCCCAGCCCAACACAGTTGCTCACTTTTCCACACCATTCCGCAACCTTCCCGTTCTCGAATCTGGTCTCAAATTCCCCCTCCGCCTGAATACTTATTTATTTTCAGACCCTTCATCCACAGCTGCACCACTTACAAGGCGTTTGTATTCCCAATTGACGATTGCTCCCGACAGCTGACGCCCTCCAGACACAAGTCCTGTAAACCGCCATCTCATAATTTATCATGGCGCCTCTGGGTGCTCTTGCCGTCAGCCTTGTCTCCCCAATTGGGTGTCCGCCCAAGTGCGTCGGTGACTCCGTTTCGGGGGCCAGGACTCCGTCGGCTCCGTTCAGGGTGACAAGGTACCACATTATTCCCGCAATTACACCGTCGCGAATGTCCCTTTTCCTCTAACAACCTCCAACCTCTTGCAACAAGAGGTATCTATCCGGTAGAGTTACGCCACCTTGTCCCGTAGTGCCTATCGTTGCTGTCAATTCGCATGTGAATTACATCCTTCGTTGTCTTTTGTCCCGTTTCCCCTTCAGCCCCGCTCCCGTCGCACTTCGCCCTCTGGCGCGTCTTCCCCTGAAGCGCCATTCGCGGCTCCCCGCCACATCATGTTCCGCCGGAGGATCGCCGCGAGGTGCCGCGGCGGAGACGAGCCGGAGCGCCGGTTCCGCCGGGAGCACCTCTAGCAGCGCGGGTGACACGCACCGCAGCCGCAGCGACAGGAGCGGCAGTGGCGGCAGCAGCAATGGCGGCGGCAGCGGCTCGTCGTCGTCGTCGTCGTCGGTGCCGTCGCCCTTCGCATTCGTGGGCCTGGACTACTACCAAATCCTCGGCGTGCCCGTCGGCGCGCCTCCCGCCGACATCCGGCGCGCGTACCGCGCGCTGCAGAAGAAGTACCACCCCGACATCGCGGGCGCTCAGGTGCGCTCTCAACAGTTGTGCGCGGTTGTGCGCGCGTGGAATTGACGCGCATGTCGCACATCCCCACGCGCATGTCGCACATCCCCACGCGCATGTCGCACATCCCCACGCGCATGTGAAGGCTCGTCATGGGATTGGCTGACTGCCCAGCTTCGAATTCCTCACACGGTGGAGTTTGTTTCTCTCAACACTTGAGAGAAATCTCCGCTCCTCGCGTTCCGCCCTTCATGTGCATTCGCCCAACCCTCCACTTACTGTTCTCTGCCGCCCACCCCTCTCCTGCCCACCTCTATACCCCTCTCCTGCCCACCTTCTAACACCTCTATAGACGCACGAGATGGCGCTGAAGCTCAACGAGGCGTACGACACGCTCATGGACGACACGCGCCGCGCGTCGTACGAGAAGGAGTGGCGCGACGCGGCCGTGGCGGGGTACGTGGGGTTCACGGGGCAGCCGCGCAGCGCGTGGGCGGCGCCGGAGGGGCAGCAGCAGGCGATCTTCGTCGACGAGGCGGCTTGCATCGGTGGGTGGGTGTGACTGTGAGTGATGTTCGGGTGCAATGGTAGTGCGCTGATTTGCTTCCTCATCACCGCTCTTCCCACTCCCACCCCGCGCCCTCCCATCCCCTACTCTCGCTAGGCTGCCGCGAGTGCGTGTTCGCCGCCAGTCGCACGTTCCACTTCGACGCCGAGGCGGCCGTGACGCGCGTGCACACGCAGTGGGGCGACGCGCTGCCCGCCGTCCAATCAGCCATCGACAGCTGCCCCGTCAGCTGCATCCACACGGTGACACGTGGCGACCTGCCCATCCTCGAGTTCCTTGTGCAGGTCTCATCTGAACCCACCCAACCCAAGTCCTCCCCTCCTCTACTCCCTTTTCACTCCCTTTCGTACACATTTGACTCGTGCAGGTCTCATCTGAACCCACTCAACCCAAGTTCTCCTCTACTCCCTTTTCACTCCCGTTTCACTCCCTTTCGTACACATTTGACATCTGTTTGATCCCGCTTATCCTGTCTCACACCGTATGGCCCTCATCCCACTCGCCCGCGCGTCTCGCGTTCCCTGGCAGCCGCGGGAGAGGGAGAGCAAGGGCATCTTTGGGGGCGGCTGGGAGCCCGGGCACCCCATCAATATTTTCACTGCTGCCCGCGAGTTCAAGCGCAAGCTAGAGAGCCAGCGGGAGGGGGCGGAACGCAGGCGGGCAGGTTAGTTTTGGCAGGGGAAGAAGTGGGTTGAATGGGTGCTGAGTACTGTGCAATGTGTGAGTGATATAGCTTGCAGATTATGATAGAGCCATATGGCATATGCTAGAAATTGTTGCTATGTTGCTTTTCTTACATGCTCCCCTCCTATCTAGTTCTTCTCCCTAAATGATGCTCCCTTCCAACTTCCATCCGTCTATCTTTCTCCTCGCCGCCCTCCTGCAGCCACGTCGGCAGCAGAGCAGGAGACGCCAGCTCAGCGTGCCGCCCGTCAGGAGGCGGACGCGAGGATGAACGGGTTGGGCGGCGGGTTTTGGCAGAAGTGGGCGCAGGCATGGGGGGCGTGGGGGGAACCAGGGGGGGAGGCAGGCGCGGATGGGGGGGAGGGGAGTTCTCAGTGGGCCAGGGCGAATACAGCTAGCAGCACGGCTGGCAGCAGTGAGGGTAGCCGTGAAGGTGGGAGGCAGGCAGGTGGGGGGAGGGGGGAGGAAGGAGGAAAGGGAGGAGGTGGTGGAGGGGGGAAGGGAGGAGGAAAGGAAGGGAAGAAGGGGGGGTGGTTCCCGTGGCATGCAATGCTGGGCACGGCGGCATCGTCGGAGATTCTCAGACAGCCGGCCGGGGAGGGCGTCAAGGAGGAGGTGAGAGTTTTGAGGCGCCTCAAAAGGGCGTCTCTCTACCCGCAATTTTTTAGGTGCCTCAAAATCACGGCAGCTTCAGAGATTCTCAGGCAGCCGGCCGAGTCAAGGAGGAAGTGAGAGGGGGACGGGTGTGGTTGTGAGCGGTGAAGGAGGGAACGAGGGGATCGGGGTACAGCTGTGTTTCCTGACGTCTTTTCCCAGGTCTTGAAGTCTGTGCTTCAGTAGTAACTTGATTTCACCCTCCCGTCTCCCCCCTTGTTGGCAGCACGCAGAATTCATTATTGTCAATCTAACCTTCCCACCTCCCCCTTCTCTCCATCCTCCCCTTCCTCCCCACTCTCCCCGTCGTCCCCATCCTCCCCATCCTCCCCATCCTCCCCATCCTCCCCATCGTCCCCATTCCGCCCTACTGCCCCCATCATGCAGCTCATAGCATTCATCCAGCAGTGGGCCACGCTCTGGTCTTTTTCCTCCGAGCTGCCCCTTCCTCTGCCCGTCCGTGTGGACAACCAATCGGACGGCACCGAGCTGACGCTTATCACCATGCGCGGCGATCTCCTCACGTCCGTCGGATCGTTTGTCATCACTGTGGAGCCGTTGGATGCTGATGCTCGTGGTGGAACTACTAGTGATGGTGGTGATAGTGGTGATGGTGGGGAGAATGGGGAGTGGGTGGTGGTGGTGAGGAGAAAGGGGGCCATAGACAACAAAGCTTTGCCAGGAGAGGGGACTATAGTGAAGGCACTGAGAGGAGCATTGGCAAGGCATGATAGCATGAAGGGATACGAGGCGTATCATCTCCCTAGGAGCAGCAAGCCCATGAAGTAGGTTGTTGGTGTACATAATTATTCAGCTGGGGATGCTGCTGTAGCATATGATGGAGGGAAAACGTTTTCTTACAGTTGCTTCTGATTATTGCATGTAGAACGTAACCTTTTGGTAAAATGCTAAATGCTAAATGCCATAAAATTAAATGTATATGCAGAGTTTTGTATTCCAATGGGTCTCCTGCGCCAATAACCGCGAGACGTGGCGCCCAGCGGGACACACCCGGCTTACAGGGTGACGTGGCGACCCCTCCTCAGTTCTTGGTCCACATCATCGCTCCCTGCTCTTTTCCCCCACACCGCACATTCGCATCCCCGTTGTAATGCAGTTCACTGCAGAGGTGCTCAACATTCATTCACTCTCTATTTTCGTCGGGAAAGTTCAGGTCAGCACGGGGAGCAGAGAGGACGAGAGGAGCATCGGATTCAGCATCATCATTCCACCCATTGGTCGTAGTCATCGGCACTCCCTCAGCAGCCCAACAGCACATCAGCAGCAGTGTTCCTTACATAGCGCGCTAGCTTCACCGATCCTGTCCGTCCTCTTCTCTCGCGTCCTTCGCCCCTCTCACGACCTCCGCGCCTCGTCGCGACTGGCATGCTCGAGCGTCTCCGCGCGCTCCTCTCGTTCCTCTTCCACTGCGCGCGCGCCGTCCTCCTCTTCCTCGTGCTTCTCTCCGACGCGCCCGGCTTTCCGCCCGCCGCGCGCGCCATGCGGCAGTGGGAGGAGTGGTTTTGCCGCCTCGAGCATCGCAAGACCGAGTCGAATTGCTCGCAGTCTGTTTTTTCACAGCGCGCGCAGACCTCGGCCCGCCACGCAGGGGTTACAGGAGAGACAGGAGAGTCAGGTTACTCACGAGACACAGTAGTCACTGATTTCAGCTCGTTACAGGCGCTCATCTCTCTAACAGCCATGGCGCATCGCCTCTGCGGCCGATGCGTCTCTTCCACCGCCTCCGCCTTTCCCGCCGCCAAATCTGCCGCCTTCCCCGCCGCAACTCACGTTCTCCAATCGCACCTCTCCACCGCAACCAGCGCGACCAGCCCATCCGCATATAATCGCTCATCTCCCGCCGCCGCGGCGCTCCGTAGCTGTCGCCCGACGGCCAATTACCCGCCGGCACGTGGCGCCAAGGCGTGGTGGTATCAGCCGTGGCTGGCGCATTCCGCCGTCACCGGCGCACGCAGGCTGTTCCCCGCAGCGGGGGGAGGGGGAGGGCCCGGGGGAGCAGGCGGGGGGGGGAAACGCTATGTGGGGACAGTTCCGCCCGCAGCTGGCGGGAGGGGAGTGGCCATGATGAGATGCGAGGGAGGGGGCGCCATGTACACGCGGCCTGATCCGACGGTCAGTAGGAAGCGACGGGGAGGGGGGGCCGGGAGTATCTGACGGGTGCATGTGAAGGGGATGCTGTCACTCGCGCGGCCACCATTCGGCCGCTCTCGCCGCTTCCCCCTCGTCTCGTTTCTCTGTTGAGGTGGATTCTCTCCCCACTTTCTGTCACCGGCCCTACATGGCTCCCGCATCTCACCCTTCCTTCACCCCCCTTTCCCCGCCCCGTCTCCTCCTTGTTCCCCCTCCTCCAGCGGCCGCGTGTGTGCGTGCTAGGGGGTGGATTCGGCGGGCTGTACGCGGTGTTGCGGCTGGACTCGCTGCTGTGGAGCGACGAGCGCCGCCCGCAGGTGCTGCTGGTGGACCAATCAGAGCGCTTCGTCTGCAAACCGCTGCTCTACGAGCTGCTCTCGCAAGGTGGGCACTTCCCCCATGACCTGCTGATGCTCATTATGCTCCTACTCCTTCTCCTACACCTTCTCATTCTCCTTCTCGTGCTCCTTCTCATGCTCATGCCCGTGGTCGGTTTGGCCCCGTCTGCTCCCAACCAATCCGGCCATCATGCCTCGCATTATGCCACATCCAAAAGGTGAACTCACTCTCTCCCTCTCTCTCCCTTTCTTGCCTCCCCCCATCAGACGTGACGGTGTGGGAGACAGCATCCAAGTTCACAGACCAGCTCAGAAGCAGCTCAGAAACACCTGAAGGAGCAGGTTCTGGCGCGGGGAAGGGGTCTACCTGGGAAGGACCTGGAGCGAGAAAGAGCGAGAGGGGGGGGGGGGGGGGGGGGGGCGAGGGGCAGTGCGGTAGGGAAAGAGACAGTAAAAGCGGACGGACTCGTCAAAAGTGATGTCCTGAGACGCAAAGACACGGTGCGAGGTGGGGTCGTAAAACTGCCAATAAGGCGCGTCAGGAGGAAAACCAAAGAAGACGCAGGGAATGGCGCGGGCAGAGAGCTTGTCCGCGGTGAGAACGCGGACAAAGGCACGAGCACCCCAGACCCGGAAATGCGACGCATTGCCAACCTCCCCCGTCCACAGCAGTGTGGGCGAGGTCTCCGGCAAGGAGACACGAGGCCAGAGGTTGAGCTGATGCGCGGCGTGCCGGACCGCAAACGGCCACAGAAAATAGGGAGCCGCTGCATGGATCATGGAGGTACGAGCGACCTCCATGGCTAAGCCAATTTGGCGCTCAGCAACCCCATTCTGCTGCGGAGAGGCCGGAAGCGTGAACGACTGGCGGATGCCGTGCTCCACACACAAGGCTGCCAAGAGGTCGGAGGTGAACTCACCACCTCTTTCAGAGTGTAGACGCAAGACAGGAAAGTCCAGCTCGAACCGCTCGCGGAGCTGGAGACGAACAGCGTGGATCCAAGGGATTAGAATAGCAGGGACATCTGCCTTGCGCTGCAAGGGGAAGACCGTGGTGTAACGCATGTAGTCGTCGACGACTAGCAGAAAGTACCACTCGCGGTCCTGTCCCTGGACGCGGGCTGGGCCCCACACATCCAGGTGGAGGGTCTGCAGTGGAGCCTCTGTGGGAGGGAACGAGGAGTGAGGAGCGGTGCGCTGCCGCCCCTCGACGCAAGGAATGCAGGGCGACACAGGCAAGGGAGGGAGGGCAGGCAGAGACCTGGGAAGACCAGAGACCAAGGAGCGAGAGTGCATGCTACGAAGGCGAGACAGGGAGGGGTGACTAAGGCGGTGGTGCCACAAGAGAGTGTCGTGCGAAAGGCGGCGACACTCACACTGGGTAGCTACCTGAGCAGACACGTACAGCTGTGGAAACAAAGGGGTGTAGCGTGAAACAGTGGTGAGGGTGTACAGACTGGACCCCGGCTCACGAGTGAACATGCCCAGGTGGCGGCCAGTCCGCTGCCCTCCAGGAGTCCAGGTGTCAACCCAGTGATCCTGAAGGACGACGCTGCTCACCACGTTTGTAGAGAACGAGGGAACGTGGAGACCTGACAGCTCACCAGACGAGACCGCCGGGCGCGGAAGCACAGTCGTGGCTCGTGCAAGCACAAGGCCCCTAGAGGGGTCAGCCATTGAGACAGGGATAGGTGCAGGGAGGGGTGTGACTGTGGTACTGACGCGAAAGAAACACAGCTGTGAAAATATTGATGGGGTGCCCGGGCTCCCAGCCGCCCCCAAAGATGCCCTTACTCTCCCTCTCCCGCGGCTGCCAGGGAACGCGAGACGCGCGGACGAGTGGGATGAGGGCCATACGGTGTGAGACAGGATAGGCGGGATCAAAAAGATGTCAAATGTGTACGAAAGGGAGTGAAACAGGAGTGAAAAGGGAGAAGAGGAGAACTTGGGTTGAGTGGGTTCAGATGAGACCTGCACGAGTCAAATGTGTACGAAAGGGAGTGAAAAGGGAGTAGAGGAGGGGAGGACTTGGGTTGGGTGGGTTCAGATGAGACCTGCACAAGGAACTCGAGGATGGGAAGGTCTCCACGTGTCACCGTGTGGATGCAGCTGACAGGGCAGCTGTCGATGGCTGATTGGACGGCGGGCAGCGCGTCGCCCCACTGCGTGTGCACGCGCGCCACGCGTGCCTTGGCGTCGAAGTGGAATGTGCGACTTGTTAAAATCTAGATGTGAACGAGAATGAATGAACTAGCAAGCAGGCGGGTACAAGTAGGAAAACCTAAAGGTGTTGTACCCCACATTGTCTTCCCCACTATAGCCTACAGAGACTATAGCATATGAGTTTGACACACCCCCATAGGCAAAGTGGGGGAGAACAAGAGGTCACAAGACCAGTCAAGCAAAGAAAAGCAAGCTCAGGGTGGATCACAACGTCACCACACAGTCCGAGCACAAGTTCAAGGGCACAAGGCCAGTCCACATGCGAGATCATATATAAAGGTAAACAAGCAAGTGCAGGTATAGAAAGATCACAGTACAAGCAAGGTCAAGAAGTGAGCAAGTGAGGCCAAGTAGGCACAAGACCTAGCATCGTACAGAAGCACTGATGATCACAAGGCGGAAGTGCCTTGGTAAAGATATCAGCAGTGTTGGCCTCAGAGGCCACGTAAGCAAGGCGCAGCTGACCACGCTGCTACAGCTCACAGGCAAGGAAGTAGCGAAGAGCAATGTGCTTCATTCTGTGCTCCAGTCTGTGCTCCCGACACAAGGCCAGCATGGCCTTGTTGTCTACGTACAGAACTGGAGGAGAACGAGGAGGCTCTCCTAGGTCAATCAGCAGGTAGGTGAGCCAGCGTAGCTCCTGTGCAGCCATGGCCCCGGCGTAGATCTCAGCCTCACAGCTGGAGCCGAGAAAACAAGACGAGCGGGTAGACCGCCACGAAACAGAGCCGGAACCAAGGCTGAAGGTGTAACCCTGTGATGACCGCTGCGTAGCCTGGTCGTCAGCCCAAGAAGCGTCTGCGTGACCTGTGAGGACCATTGAACATCGCCCTCCAAGCACTAGCCCCATGCCCAACGTACTGCAGAAGTAGCGCAACGCCCCCTTCGCTGCAGCCATGTGCTCTGGTCGGTGTCTCCTAGGAGCAACATAGCGTGCCAAGATGCTAAGAGGGTATGCAAGGTCAGGTCGTGTGCAGATCATTAGCTACATGAGGCAGCCAACGAGCTCTGGGTACGGGCCACTCGGCTCTACGCACTCATCCAAAGGCAGAGCTGAGAGCGAGTGGCGAGTAGACAGAGGAGTGGCCTGAGGCGAGGAGTACCTGAAGTCGAAGCACTGAAGGACCTGCTCCACCATGTGTGACTGAGTCAGAGTAATGGTGCGCTGTGCTCTGTCCCGGGTGATCTGCAAGCCAAGGTAGCTGCGCAGTTCACCCAGGTCTGTGCACGTGTGTCTATTCTGCAGCTCAGACTTCACGTGGGCGAGTCCAGCAGTGTCAGTAGTGGCAAAGACCAAGTCGTCGACGTACACGAGGATGTAGAACGGTGGCAAAGAGGTGTCGGTGCGCAGAAAGAGCGACGGGTCGGCTGTAGAAGGAGCACACCCAAGAGCCGCAAGTGTAGTCCTCAGTGTGTCGTGCCACTCACGGGGCGCCTGGTGGAGACCGTAGACCGGCCGCCGGAGGCTCCACTGGGTACCAGGAGGAAACGACCCAGTGAAGCCAGGTGGGCGGCACAGCCAGATCTCCTCGTGTAGGCTGCCCTGCAGCAAAGCTGTGCTGAAGTCAAGAGAGTGAAGCTCGTAGTCGCGCTGAGCGGCTATGTGCAGCAACACCCAAAGAGTGGTCATCTTCGGGGTGGGAGAGAAGGTTTGAAAGTAGTCAACTCCCTGCCGTTGACTGAAGCCTCGAGCCACGTAACGCGCCTTGAAGACAGGCGGAGAACCCGGCGGCCGCTTCACCCTGAAAATCCACATGCCACTGACGATGTTCGCCCCAGGTGGGGGAACCTCGTCGACGTAGGTGCCTGTGGACTTCCAGGAAGCCATCTCTGCGTCCATGGTTTACTGCCACTGTGAGGAGTAGGGACCCTCGATCGCCTCAGCGTACGATCGAGGAGTCGGGATGTCTGGTGCATCCGGGTCTCCCTGAGGGGCAATTTGCGTGGACACGAGATGAGGCAAAGCAGCAGCAAAACACTGGAACTCCTCCTGCCTGTCCTCAAGGACGTCCGTGCTAAGAGCACACTCACCCCCGATGAATGGAGGACAGACAGATTCAGACTCAGTGACAAGACTAGGAGCGCAGTCTAGACGTCAGCGAGCAGCGAAGTCGACAAGCTCAGCAACTAGGGCAGAGGTAGCAGTGGACTCAAAGGAAGGGACAGTGACAACAGTAGCCAGCAGCCGCGTGACAGTAGGACTTGCAGCACGAAGAGAGTCAGACTACGGGTCAGCAAGGACAGGAAGAGAGGACTCTGGAGGAGACAGCAACGGGACACGGAGAGGAGCAGTGGAAGGACGCAGTGCCATGTGGTGTGTGCCTGGGACCGCACGAGGACGCGGACGCGGAGCACGACTACTAGTGCGAGCAGCACGAACCGGCGACGCAAGACGAGACGCAGGCTTACGACGCTCAGCAAGACCTCTAGTAGGACCAGTGTAGGGAGAAGGAGCAGGTAGGGGGGAGGTGGGTTGTAACTAGCGCCAGCAACACCTCCAGCTCCAACAGCGCCAACTCCAGCACCCTGAGAAGCACCAGCGCCAGCATCACCTCCAGCGCCAACACCCCCAGCAGCTCCAGCTCCTGCAGCTCCAGCTCTTGCAGCTCCAGCTCCAGCAGCACCAACTGCAGTAGCTCCAGCAGGACTGCCAGCTCCAGCAGCCCCAGCAGCACCCCCAGTCCCAGCAGCTCCAGTACCGCCAGTACGAGCACCTCTAGGACCAGTGGCTCCAGTAACTACAGTGCCGACCCCAGGGTCAGCAGGAACAGCAGCACCTCCAGCTCCAGCTGCACGGCTCCAGCGCCGGGCAAACCACTCGCGCAACTCCTGTGGAGAGGGTAGCTCCCGCCTCGACAAAGCACCCGAAGGGGCCCCAAACCCAGCACCGCTAGAGGCCACACGAGCAGACCCAGCACCCCAAGGCTCCGCACCCACAGGCTCAGCACCCCCAGGCTCCGCACCCCCAGGCTCCGCACCCCCACGCTCAGCACCCCCAGGCTCCGTACCCCAAGGCTCCGCGCCCCAAGGCCCAGCACCCCTAGGCTCCGCACCCCCAGGCTCCGCACCCCCAGACTCAGCACCCCCACGCTCAGCACCCATAGCAGCACAAGAGTCAACAGCTACCTCGACTGGCTCGACTGCGTCTACCTGGGACACACCTGACGGGGCAGGACCCTGAGGGGGGAGGGGGTCTACCGGGGGGGGACCTGGCGCAAGGAAGAGCGGCGGCGGGGGGAGGGGCGCAATGCGGTAGGGGAAGAGACGGTAGTAAGGCACCGACTCGTCAAAGGTGACGTTCTGGGAGGACAGAATACGGCGCGAGGTGGGGTGGTAAAACTGCCAACTAGGCGCGTCAAGGGGGAAGCCAAGGAAGACGCAGGGAACAGCACGGGGGGACAGCTTGTCCGCAGACAAGTCGCGGGCAAACGCTCGAGATCCCGAGACACGAAACGCAAACGTATCGCCAACCTTCCCCATCCACCGCAAGGTAGGGGAGGTCTCTGGCAAGGAGACCCGGGGCTGAAGGTTGAGCTGATGCGCTGCGTACTGAACCGCAAACGGCCACAGAAAATGGGGAGCAGCCGCATGGATCATGGACGTACGAGCGATGTCCATGACCATGCCAATGCAGCGCTCAGCAATCCCATTTTGCTGTGGAGAGGGCGGAAGCGTGAAGGTCTGGCGGATGCCCTGTGCACGACAGAAGGCTCCCAGAAGGGCAGAGGAAAACTCCCCGCCTCGGTCTGAGTGCAGACGCAGAACAGGAAAGTCCGAGCCGAAACTCTCTCTGAGCTGGAGACGAACCGCGCGGATCCAGTCGATCAACACCTCAGTGACGTCACCGTTGCTGCGCAAGGGGAACACCATGGTGTAACGCGAGTAATCGTCAACCACCAACAGGAAGTAACGCTCGTGACCCGGGCCACGGACGCGGGCGGGGCCCCACACGTCCATGTGAAGAGTCTGCAGCGGAGCCTGTGTTGGAGGAAACTCGGAGGAGTGAGGGGCGGCGCGTTGTCGCCCCTCGACGCAGGGAACGCAGGTAGGGGCAGGCCCCAGAGGGAGGGAAGGGAGGGACCGGGGGAGACCAGAGACAAGGACACGGGAGGCCATGCCTCGGAGACAAGGCAGGGAGGGGTGACCAAGGCGGTGGTGCTAGAGGAGAGTCTGGTGGGACAGGAGACGACACGAGCAGGGAGCAGACTCAGGACCAGACCTGGACGCTGCAGCAAACAGCTGACCCGACGCAGCTACCTGACGAGACTCAGCAACCGAAGGAGACTCTGTCGTCAGTGTGTACAGGCTCGACCCCGGCTGACGGGTAAACGTGGCCAAGTGTCGGCCCGTCCGAGCACACGTATAGTGGGTCACCCGCTGACTCGCAGGAGTGAACTGATCAACTCCCCCATCTTGTGGATCAGCACCTCTCACCAAGTTCGTAGACAACGAGGGGAGGTAGAGACCTGACAGGATGCCAGAGGGGGCTGTCGGACACTGCAAGACAGTGGAGAATTTGGCAAGGACAGGACCCCGAGAGGGGTCCGCCAGGGAGACCGCAACTGGCGGACTAAGCGGCGTAAGTGTGGTGCGGTCTCGAAAGAAGGAGCGGGAAGCACCTGAGTCAAGGGTGAAGGTGTGTAAGGCCTGAGCCGACGTGGTACCTGAGAGAGCAGACTCACCAGCACCTAGGGCAGCAGACGCACTAGCACCTAGAGCAGCAGCCTCACCAGCACCTAGAGCAGCAGCCTCAATGCCCGGGTCAGGCGGAACACACAGGTAACAGTCACCCTCATCTCTAGTAGGCAATGCATACATGGCAGTGAGGATAGCATCATAGTCAAGAGTATAGATATCTACCCGCACCCTAAGCAGCTCCACCCAGTCGGGGAGCTCAGCCGCGTCGCCAAACTCCGTACGCGAGGCGTCGCTCAGACGGGCGAAGCAGCGGGACTCTGCGTGACCAAATGTCTCGCAAGGCTGACCAGTCCGAGCACCAGTGCGAATGACGTACGGACAGCGTGCAGTACCGCGTGACCCGCCACGCTGAGCGTACCACTCACGAAGGTGCTGGGGCGAAAGGACCGCGCACGGACGATGCCGCAGCTGCACCTAGCCACTACAAGCAGTTGCCGAATTACTCACTCCAGGACGACTCCCACTACGGCCACCCCGACAACCTTAAGTAGCGTACCACTCACGAAGCTGCTGGGGCGTGAGGGACTCACGCGGACGTCGCTGGAGCTGCATCTGGTCACCGCCAGGAGCAGCAGGAGCAGTGGTAGCCGTAGTAGCAATAGCAGTAGCCGCGCTGGCCACCCCTATAACCCCAACTAGCGTACCACTCACGAAGCTGTTGGGGGGCGAGGGACTCACGCGGACGGCGCTGGAGCTGCATCTGGCCACGCAAGGAGCAGCAGTAGCAGTAGAAAGAGCAGTAGCAGCAAGAGCAGCAGTAACAGCAGTACGGGCAGGGCAGTGCGCACCAGTGGCGAGAAGGGCAGGCGTACGACGGCGGTAACGGCGAGGCCGCTACCACTGTAGGGCGAGGGCTCCGCGGCAGCTGCAGGGGAGGCAGGTCCAGGGGTGGCAGCTGCAGTGGCGGCTGCTCCAGGGGCGGCTGCTGCAGGGGCGGGTGCTCCAGGGGCGGCTGCTGCAGTGGCGGCTGCTCTAGGGGCGGCTGCTGCAGGGGTGGCTGCTCCAGAGGCGGCTGCTGCAGTGGCGGCTGCTCCAGGGGCTGCTGCTCCAGGGGCCAGGGGCGGCCGTCCCAAGGGTGGGCGCGGGGTAGGGCAGGGCGCCGTGGCGAGCAGAGGCGACTGCAGTAGTGAATAGTAGTAGCAGCACGGCTCGGCTGGGGCGACGCGACGGGCTGGGGCAGCCCACAAGGGCGACGCGACGGGCTAGGGCAGCCCGCAAGGGCGACGCGACGGGCTAAGGCAGCCTGCAGGGGTGTCGCGACAGGCTAAGGTGGCCCGTAGGGGCAACGCTACGGACTAAGGCCGCCCGCAGGGGCGACGCGAGGGGCTAGGGCGGCCCGCAGGGGCGACGCGACGGGCTAAGGCAGCCCGCACGGGCTACGCGACGGGCTAGGGCAGCCCGCAAGGGCGACGCGATGGGCTGGGACAGCCCGCATGGGCGACGCGACGGGCTAGAGCAGCCCGCAAGGGCGACGCGACGGGCTAAGGCAGCCCGCAGGGGCGACGCGACGGGCTAGGGCAGCCCGCAAGGGCGACGCGACGGGCTAAGGCAGCCTGCAGGGGCGACGCGACGGGCTAGGGCAGCCTGCAAGGGCGACGCGACGGGCTAGGGCAGCCCGCAGGGGCGACGTGACAGGCTAGTGCAGCCCGCAAGGGCGGCGCGACGGGCTGGGGCAGCGCACTACCATTGCACCCGAACATCACTCACAGTCACATTCACAGTCACACTCACAGTCACATTCACAGTCACACTCACAGTCACACCCACCCACTGATGCAAGCCGCCTCGTCGACGAAGATTGCCTGCTGCTGCCCCTCCGATGCCGCCCACGCGCTGCACGGCTGCCCCGTGAACCCCACGTACCCCGCCACGGCCGCGTCGCGCCACTCCTTCTCGTACGACGCGCGGCGCGTGTCGTCGATGAGCGTGTCGTACGCCTCGTTGAGCTTCAGTGCCATCTCATGCGCCTGACGCAGAAAGGCAGTTAGAAAGGGTGGGCGGCTAGGTAGGAAAGAGCAGCAGGGAGCGCGCCTTGACGGCGGGTAAGCACGCCTTGACTAGCGTGTCGTCCGCCTCGTTCAGCTTCAGCGCCATCTCGTGCGTCTATAGAGGTGTTAGAAGGCGGGCATGAGAGGGGTGGGCGGCAGAGAACAGTGAGCGGAGGGTTGGGAGAATGCACATGTAGGGCGGAACGCGAGGAGCGGAGATTTCTCTCAAGTGTTGTGAGAAACAAACTCCACTGTGTGAGGACTTCGAAGCTAGGAAATCAGCCAATCCCATGACGAGCCTTCACTTGCGCGTGGGATGTGCGACATCCGCGTCAATTCCACGCGCGCACAACTATTGAGAGCGCACCCGAGCGCCCGTGATGTCGGTACTTCTTCTACAGCGCGCGGTAGGCGCGGCGGATGTCGGCAGGAGGCGCGCTGATGGGCACGCCGAGGATTTGGTAATAGTCCAGGCCCACGAATGCGAAGGGCGACGGCACCGACGACGACAACGACGACGAGCCGCTGCCGCCGCCATTGATGCTGCCGCCATTGCTACTGCCGCCACTGCCGCTCCTGTCGCTGCGGCTGCGGTGCGTGTCACCCGCGCTGCTAGAGGTGCTCCCGGCGGAACCGGCGCTCCGGCTCGTCTCCGCCGCGGCACCTCGCGGCGATCCTCCGGCGGAACATGATGTGGCGGGGAGCCGCGAATGGCACTTCAGGGGAAGACGCGCCGGAGGGCGAAGTGCGACGGGAGCGGGGCTGAAGGGGAAACGGGACAAAAGACAACGAAGGATGTAATTCACATGCAAATTGATAGCAACGATAGGCACTACGGGACGAGGTGGTGTGACTCTACCAGATAGATAACTCGTGCTGCAAGAGGTTGGAGGTTGTAGAGAGAAAAAGGTATTTTTCGCAACGGTGTAATTGCGGGAATAACATGGTACCTTGTCACCCTGAATGGAGCCGACGGAGTCCTGGCCCCCAAAACAAAGTCATCGACGCATTTGGGCGGACACCCAATTGGGGAGACAAGGCTGACGGCAAGAGCACCCAGAGGCGCCATGATAAATTATGAGATGGCAGTTTACAAGACTTGTGTCTGGAGGGCGTCACAAGGGAGGAGCCGTCGGGAACACTCATCAATTGGGAATACAACCGCCCTGCAAGTGGTGCAACTGCGGATGAAGGAATATGAAATTAGGGAAGCATTCAGGAGGAGGGGGAATTTGAGCTTCGAGAACGGGAAGGTTGCGAAATGGTGTGGAAAAGCGAGCAACTGGGCTGGAATGTTTGTCTGCGCAACGTGCTCAATCCTAAAGAAATTGATGCGAAACACACTGTACCGTACATGTCAAGTTATAATATTGTGTAGGCTATAGTGGGGTAGCCCATATGGGGTACACATTTCTAGGGTTGCATATTTGTATCACTTCCATTCCTTAGTCAATCCATTCTCGTTCTACTTTCCTCATGGTATCGAGCAGGTTCCCCCGTGGGAACAGTGCCTAGGGCCCACCACATCGAGATTTTTTTTTCCAGCCCGAAGCGCGCTCCTCCCGAGTCGCGCCCCGGGCTCTCACCTAGTCGAGCCGCCCTAGCGGCCCCTACGCCCTAGCGGCCCTCCCTCCCCTAGCGGCCCCGCCGCCCGTTCGTGCGGCCCCGCCACCCGTTAGTGCGGCCCCGCCGCCCGTTAGCGCGGCCCCGCCGCTCGCTTCGCGGCCCCGCCGTCCGTTAGCGCGGCCCCGCCGCCCGTTCGCGTGGCCCCGCCGCCCGCATTCGCGGCCCCGCCGCCCTACTCAGCGGCCCCGCCGCCCTTCTCCTGCGGCCCCGCTGCCCTACTCAGCGGCCCCGCCGCCCTGCTCCTGCGGCCCCGCCGCCCTACTTCGCGGCCCCGCCGCCCTACTCAGCGGCCCCGCCGCCCTGCTCCTGCGGCCCCGCCGCCCTACTTCGCGGCCCCGCCGCTCGCTTCGCGGCCCCGCCGCCCTACTCCGCGGCCCCGCTGCTCTACTCCTGCGGCCCCGCCGCCCTGCTCCGCGGCCCCGCCGCCCTGCTCCTGCGGTCCCGCCGCCCTTCTCCTGCGGCCTCGCCGCTCTACCCAGCGGCCCCGCCGCCCGTCTGCTGCGGCCTCGCCGCCCTTCTCAGCGGCCCCGCCGCTCTCAACTCCTGCAGCGCCGCCCGAGCCGCCGACCGCCGCGCTGCCCTGCAGCAGCACGCCCGAGCCGCCGACCGCCGAGCCGCCGACCGCCGCGCCACCCTGCAACAGCACAACCGAGCCGCCCAGCAGCAGAGGAGCCGAGCCGCCCTGCCGCCAAGCCGCACTGCAGCCGAGCCGCCCGACCGCCCACCAGCCGAGCCGCCGTGCAGCCGAGCCGCCCAGCAGCCGAGCCGCCGAGCCGCCCTAGCAGCCGAGCCGCCGAGCTGCCCTACAACCGAGCCGCCCGAGCAGCCCTGTCCGGTGAGCACAGCGCCTCTGTCACTACGTGCCCTTCCCCTACTGCTTGCACTGCTGGTCTACTGTTGTCATGGCTACCCCTAGTGTCCTTGCTTTTGACGCTAAGGGTCGAGCCATTGACTTTGAGGTCTGGGTCGACGACCTGCAGCTGTTCTTACAGTGCGATAGGGCTGACGGTCTTTCTCTCTTTGACCTCACCTCTGGCGCCTCTCCTGCCCCTGCTGCTGATGCTGACCCCACTGTTCGCTCCCAGTGGGCCACGCGCGATGCTGCTGCACGTCCTGCTGTGCGTCGCCACCTGCCTACCACTGAGCGCGCGCACTTTAGTCAGTACAAGAGTGCTCAGACCTTGTACGACGCTGTAGTTACGCGCTACTCTTCCCCTGCCACTGCTGCACTGAGCCGCCTCATGCTACCGTACCTCTTCCCTGACCTTGCTGCCTTTCCCACAGGCACTGACCTCATTACGCACCTCCGCACTAGTGACACTCGCTACCGCGCTGCGCTTCCTGCTGAGATCTGTGCCAAGCAACCCCCCCCCATGTACATCACTCTCTATTACATAGTCACCCGCCTCCCTGACTCCCTTCGCGTAGTCAGGAACCACTTCGTCTTAGTCTGTCCCACCACTCTCACTGTTGACCTCCTAGAGAAGGCCCTCCTAGCAGCGGAGAAGAGCATAGTCGCTGTAGGAGCCTCTCGTGGTGACCCTCGCACCCCCATCTTTGAGGGGTGTTCCCCTTCCCCCCTGTTGCCTTCTGTTGCCTCTGCCGCTGCGGCCGACCTACTTGGTCTTGAGTCGGTCGGTGCGGCGTCTGCCCCTAGCGGGAGACGCCGCTCTGGCAAGGGCAAGGGGGGCAAGGGCGCGGGTGGAGCTGGCGGGGGTGGTGGAGGTGGCGGTGGAGGCGGCGGAGGGAGTGGGGGTGGCGGTGGGAGTGGTGGCGGGGGTGGTGGTGGTGGTGGCGGCAGCGGAGGCGGAGGCGGCGGCGGCGGTAGCGGTGGGAGCGGAGGCGGCGGTGGTGGCGGAGGTGGAGGCGGCGGTGGCGGAGGAGGTGGAGCTGGTCGGGGTGGTGCCTCGCAGCGGAGCGGCTTTGGTGGTGGTCAGCGCCAGCAGCAGCAGCAGCAGCAGCATTCTCGGGACATCCCCCCTCCTCAGCAGCTCCGTAAGTGGTACACGCAGCGTCAGCGGGGTGGGGGTTTTGGTCCGTGCACCTACGTCCTTCGCTCCGGCGACCGCGCGGGTGAGCAGTGTGGGGGTGCCCACCCCACCCAGCGCTGCTTTGGCCGCCTGATGGACGCTTGGAGTCAGCAGTTCCCCGAGGCTAGTGAGATCCGCCGCTGGGGAGAGCTGTCTAGGGCAGGTGTAGCTATCTATGATCTTGATTTTGATGCTATCCTTGCTGCCATGTATGCTGTGACTATTAGTGATGAGGGTGACTGTTACCGGTGTTTTCCGCCCGATCCGGGCATTGGTACAGCTGCGCTAGGTGCTCGTGAGGCTGCTGCTCTAGGTCCCAGCGCGTCTGCGCCCTTAGGTACTGGTGAGGCTGCGCTCTCAGGTACCGCGTCGGCTTCGGCCTCCCTCACCTTCACACTTGACTCGGGGGCTTCTCGCTCCTTCTTTCGAGACCGCACCACACTCACGCCGCTTGGTCGGCCGGTTGCAGTCTCCCTGGCTGGCCCCTCTGGGGGTCCTGTCCTCTCTCACTTCTCTACTGTCCTCCCGTGTCCGGCTGCCCCCTCGGGCACCTTGTCTGGTCTTTACCTCCCCTCGTTCTCGACGAACTTGGTGAGTGGTGCAGACCTGCAGGATGCGGGGGTTCACCAGTTTACTCCTGCGAGTCAGCGGATGACCCACTGCTCGGACGCCCGCACAGGCCGACACCTGGCCACGTTTTCGCGTCGGCCGGGGTCGAGCCTCTACACCCTGACCACTGAGTCTCCTCCTGTCCCTGCGTCTGGCCAGGTAGCTGCGTCGAGTCAAGTGTTTGCTGCTGCGTCCAGGTCTGGTCCTGAGTCTGCCCCCTGCTCGTGTCGCCTCCTGTCTCACGAGACTCTCATGTGGCACCACCGTCTTGGCCACCCCTCCCTTCCTCGTCTTCGGGGCATGGCTTCCCGTGTCCTTGTCTCTGGTCTTCCCCGGTCCGTCCCTCCCCTTCCTTCGGGGCCAGGTCCTTCCTGTGTCCCCTGTGTCGAGGGGCGGCTCCGTGCTGCCCCTCACTCCTCTCAGTTTCCCCCGACAGAGGCTCCGCTGCAGACGCTTCACATGGACGTGTTAGGCCCGGCCCGCGTCCGTGGACAGGGTCACGAGCGCTACTTCCTGCTGGTGGTTAACGACTACTCGCGTTACACCACGGTCTTCCCCTTGCGCAGCAAGGGTGATGTCACTGAGGTGTTGATCGACTGGATCCGCGCAGCTCGTCTCCAACTCAGGAGGAGCTTCGGCTCGGACTTTCCTGTTCTACGTCTGCACTCTGACCGAGGCGGAGAGTTCTCCTCTGGCCTTCTGCGAGCCTACTGTCGTGCGCGAGGCATCCGCGAGACCTTTACGCTTCCGGACTCTCCACAGCAAAATGGGATTGTTGAGCGCCGCATTGGCATGGTCATGGACGTCGCTCGTACGTCCATGATGCATGCGGCTGCCCCCC